ACAACCCAGCATTAAGTCTCAGATGCAAACTAACAAGCTATGTGATCCTGGGCAAGTAGTTAAGCTCAGTGGACCTCATTTATAAAGTAGTATCTAAAGGTAAAATAAGATATAATGCGTCTAAAGGGCTTGGCAAGTGCACAGCACTTACCAGCTAAATAACAGTAGCCACAATTAGCAACAATAAAATTGTCTCTTGACCTAAAAAGGGGCATGAGAGAACTTTCTGAGGTGATGATTTGTTCTGTATCTTGATTGTGGTGGTAATTTCACAACTATACATTTGTCAAAACTCACTTTAAAAGGGTGAATTTTGTTATGTGTAAATTATACCTCAATAGCCTATTAAATAATTACTGTTATCCTCAACCATGCACTTCCTTAAATTAACTTTGAGACCTGAAGCCAATCTCTTCCAGGAACTCTTTCTGAATAAATTTAATCTTCACCCTTGCTTCTGTACTTTTCTTGCTTTCTTCCTTTTTGTTTTTTAAAGATTCATTTATTTATTTTAGAGAGAGAGACAGAGAGTGTGCATGAGCAGGGGGAAGGGCAGAGGGAGAGAGAGGGAGAGCAGCAGATTCCCTGCTGAGTGGGGAGCCCAAGGCAGGGCTCAGGCTGAATCGCACAACCCTGAGATCATGACCTGAGCCTAAATCAAGAGTTGGACACTCAACTAACTGAGCCACCCAGACACCCCTGTACTCTTCTTGCTTTCTGAAGCTCATCAGTTCTCTGTGATGTCTACCCATCTCTATCATGTACACTCAACTGTTTCTAGTGATGTGATTAAAATTTTCAGTGCCTATGGCACATTCTTAGATCTTGATTCCAGGCATATATTTAATCATGGGAAATCAACAAAGCTGGTTTTCATGCTCTGTCATACCAATATAGCAGAGTGCTCCATAGGTAAAGCTAAAACCACTCCCACATAGAAATATGTCTTTCCCTTGACAATCTCTGTAGCAAAGCAACAACTGGCAAAATGGAAATAAATGTTACAATCTGACACTTGAAGTGCATTTCCAAGATCTGATAGTGGCAATAAGGTCTCCCAAACTGCTCTTATTTTAGGAACATGCATACTTTATCTTTGTGTTACTGTTGGGCAAGCAAGCTGGGGTGCACCCTAGCTTTGGCAAGAAGGCTCTGGCACTGTGTGTCACAGTAAATGATCTGACAAAGATACATCTAACAGCACACAGCTTTTCAGGATGTTTCTCTCTTAATAAACACGTCTAGGAATGAAAATATTCCCTTGCTTCGCACAACCCTCTATTCTAAAAGCAGTGATTTAATAATGTTACAGTTTAGCTATCAGGATACAGATGCTTTGAATGGCTAACTAGGTCATTGTGTTCACTGGCAGATGTCAGAAATGTTTGCCAGATGACAAAAGACATAACCCTGGGCTGTTTTTATTCCATTTGTTTAAGACCTAACTCCCACATTAGCAACCTTCCCTGTTTACAGCTTTACTCTAAGGATCTATTAGGAGGCTCCAAGAGATTCCCTTGTGTCATTTACACCTTCAGAACTTAAAATAACCTGTGCATATGGTAATGTGAGCCTGACAGACACACTCCTGCACCCATCCTGGCAGAGTGGCTGTGAAACAGTGTCTGGGTTTTAGTGGCAGTTGTCCCTGCTGCATTCCAGCACTTGTGACTTGGTAATGCAAACATATGTGTATCAAGACCCAGTAGCCCTTCTCCTATAAGCACCCTGGAAGGAGCTGTCACTTAATGTGCAGGGGTTATGCGATTATGTTCCCTGTTCTAACTGAACAGATAGATCTCCCCACACTCCGTCCCATCATCCCCAATCCCACTAACCAAACACTCTCCTTTCCTTAATACTGGTTGTGCCCCTCCCCTCTGGCTGTGGTCCCTAAGACCTCTCATCAACTCCGCAGATCCTCCCTGTAATGCCCCGTTTCCGGGCCCCACCACCTCTCCAGGGCCCCACCACCTCTCCTGATCCCCATCACACCCGCAGACCCTCGTTGCAGGGAACTCATCACCTCTGTAGCCACTTCCACGGACCCAGTTACCTCCGCGGACCTACACCCGTTACCCACGCAGACCCTTCCCGTGGCTCCTTATTACCTCTACAGCCTTAGCACTCTCAACCCCCACCTCCCCGCTCATGCAGACCTTTGATTACTCCAGAAGACCCTCCCCACGCCCCCATTAGCCACATGACTCAAGCAGAACCTCCTCACGGTGGCGGATTAGCTCCGCAACCTTCACCAAGACCCTTCCCCTAATGCGTGTGGATCTGCGCCAAGCCCCTAGCACCCTGCAAACACCCCGTGGGCCACCACCTTCCGGGCAGCCGGCTGGGCCCTCGTCCCCCCCACCGCCCCGCCCCGTCCGCCCCCGCAGGACTCACAGGGCATTCGCGTGAGCACGTTGCGCGGCGCCTTCCTGCTCCGGCCCGGACCCCGCCGGCGCGTCCCAGCGGCCCCGTCCCCTTCCTCCTTGGCCACCATGAGGCGACGGAGGCGCTGGATGCGCTCGGGGTCTGGAGCGGGGGCGTCCTGGCGGCGACGGGTTCTGGCCGAGAGCC